TTATCCCGTATTTTTGCCCCGCGTGTCCCTTCTCAAACGTAGGCATTCCTAAACGCACTGTAAAAAAAATGTGGGACGCCTGTAGCAGAATCTGCTACATGAGCTACTTTCCCGCATTTGTCGCACGTGCAAGAACCCGCTGGACTCAATGGGCGACGTGCAGCAAACGTGGGAAAAACATGCTCGCAAACGCGACGAGCGTTCCTGCTACACTCAGGTGTGAACGTGGACTAATCGGCTTCTCGTGGAATACAAAGCCCAGCCAATCGTGGCGGCCCAGATGACAGCTGCAAGTCGTAGTTAGTGGAATGCGTCTCCATTAATCTGCGTGTAAAGTGTCGCTGAGTTTATTTTTCCCCGACAATATTGCGATAGAATATTGATAGTTTAACCCCTTAGAGTCACCACACTCGTTACAATCTGACCGTGCAATCTCTGATCAATCAGCTTGAGGCCTGGTTCACACCTGTGCGTTTTACAGCGCGTTCCTACGCTCTGTAAAACGCTCAACATGTGAAAACCAATGATTGCCTATGGGCATGGTTCCCACCTGGTCGTTTTACAGCGCGTAGGAGCTCCTGTACTTCTTTGGGGCGTATTTGCCGCGCGTATCCATTGGGATACAGCCAGGTAGCCCTCGGAAATGCGCGAAAATCGCGGTAAAAACGTGCGGCATGAAACACGCGACAAACGCGCATATTCGATACGCCTAGGTGTGAACCCAGCCTTAGAATTACCCATATTATGTAATACGAGGACAACCCAACCTATCAGGGGCGCCCTGAGGCCGGGTGTCACCCGGAGCATAGAAGGGGTGACACCCCGCCATGACGTCATCGTGCATGCGCGGTCATCTTATTGACGCCTGTTGCGGTCATCTTGGTGATGGACGCCGGCAGAGAGAAGAGGGGACGTTCACCCGGCGGGATGAGGTATGTCGCCGGGTCTCCTCCTCTCTCCTGACACTGTCGGGCTCTCGGTCCATGACCGAGTGCCTGACTTTTCATAGGGGGGTGACACCAAAATGACTGTCAGTCATTTTGGTGTCACCCCTCCAATGGTGTCACGCGGGTGCGGGTCACATCCCCCCTTGTGACGCCACTGCAACCTCTCCCACCAATCTGTATCCAATCAGACCGGCCCTTCTACTACACACTTGTTGGTAGATCTGAAGAAGATTGTACGATCAGATTGTAGAGAGTATGATGCCGCCTTCTGGCACACATGTGGGTGACACGGATTAAACACGTTACATTCCACGTTTCTTTATCTCACATACAATCTCTGGTGTTGGAAGTCGCCCTTTATCTTGAAATTTAGGATTCTTCCAGAACACTTTCCTGCAAGTCATTTCTTGTACACGGTGGCCGGTTTCCTAATAGCAAAGCTGCTACTCAGAGAGTTAACCACTTGACGGCCGCCACTGTATTAGGCTAGATCTGGGGTAGGCAACCTCGGCACTACAAATCCCATCATGTCCCTGCCTCTGGGGGTCATGCCTGTGGCTGGTAGAGTCTTGCAGTGTATCATGGGACTTGTAGTTCCACAACAGCTGGAGTGCCGAGGTTGCCTACCCCTAGTAGAGCTACACAGGAGATCTTTAGTATCCCAATAATCACTGTGATGAATCACGAGGGGTAGCTCTCCATAGAGAGTGTTTACTACATAGAGACCCTTTACTACATAGAGACCCTTTACTACATAGAGACCCTTTACTACATAGAGACCCTTTACTACATAGAGAACCTTTACTACATAGAGAGTCTTTACTACATAGAGACCCTTTACTACATAGAGAGCCTTTACTACATAGAGAGCCGTTACTACATAGAGACCCTTTACTACATTGGGAGCCTTTACTACATAGAGAGCATTTACTACATAGGGAGTCTTTACTACATAGGGAGTCTTTACTACATAGAGACCCTTTACTACATAGAGACCCTTTACTACATAGGACTACATAGAGAACCTTTACTACATAGAGACCCTTTACTACATAGAGAACCTTTACTACATAGAGACCCTTTACTACATAGGGAGCCTTTACTACATAGAGACCCTTTACTACATAGAGACCCTTTACTACATAGAGACCCTTTACTACATAGAGAACCTTTACTACATAGAGAGCCGTTACTACATAGAGAGTCTTTACTACATAGAGACCCTTTACTACATAGAGACCCTTTACTACATAGGGAGCCTTTACTACATAGAGACCCTTTACTACATAGAGAGCCTTTACTACATAGAGAGCCGTTACTACATAGAGACCCTTTACTACATTGGGAGCCTTTACTACATAGAGAGCATTTACTACATAGGGAGTCTTTACTACATAGGGAGTCTTTACTACATAGAGACCCTTTACTACATAGAGACCCTTTACTACATAGGGAGCCTTTACTACATAGAGAACCTTTACTACATAGAGACCCTTTACTACATAGGGAGTCTTTACATAGGGAGCCTTTACTACATAGAGAACCTTTACTACATAGAGCCCCTTTACTACATAGAGACCCTTTACTACATAGAGAGCCTTTACTACATAGAGAACCTTTACTACATAGAGAGTCTTTACTACATAGAGACCCTTTACTACATAGAGAGCCTTTACTACATAGAGAGCCTTTACTACATAGAGAGTCTTTACTACATAGAGACCCTTTACTACATAGAGACCCTTTACTACATAGAGAGCCGTTACTACATAGAGAACCTTTACTACATAGAGAACCTTTACTACATATAGAGCCGTTACTACATAGAGAGCCTTTACTACATAGAGAGTCTTTACTACATAGAGAGTCTTTACTACATAGAGAGCCTTTATTACATAGGGAGCCTTTACTACATAGAGACCCTTTACTACATAGAGAGCATTTTCTACATAGAGAGCCTTTACTACATAGAGAGTCTTTACTACATAGAGAGTCTTTACTACATAGAGAGCCTTTACTACATAGGGAGCATTTACTACATAGAGAGCCTTTACTACATAGAGAGCATTTACTACATAGAGAGCCTTTACTACATAGGGACCCTTTCCTACATAGAGAGCATTTACTACATAGAGACCCTTTACTACATAGGGAGCCTTTACTACATAGAGAGTCTTTACTACATAGAAAGCCTTTACTACATAGAGAGCCTTTACTACATAGAGACCCTTTACTACATAGAGAGCCTTTACTACCTAGAGAGCCTTTACTACATAGAGAGCCTTTACTACATATAGACCCTTTACTACATAGAGAGCCTTTACTACATAGAGAGCCTTTACTACATAGAGAGTCTTTACTACATAGAAAGCCTTTACTACATAGAGAGCCTTTACTACATAGGGAGCCTTTTATTTAATTTACTTAGTGATCAGTTTCTACTCCGAGCGATTCATCACCATCAATATTAGTAGAGCAACCCAGCAGCTATGTCTGTGAAGGTCCTCAGGTATCCAGGTCATGCTGTAGGTAGTAGTAGTCGGTCACAATCTGTTGCACTTGTTCTGGAATGTTGAATACATTTCGTATCTTCTCCAAGCCACTCCGTGATCTTCAATTCTAATTTCCCGACACTCATAAGAGCTGAAGAAGAGGCTCAGAGAAGCTACGAAACATCTTCAACATTACAGAAAGAAGTCCCGCTGAACGCGACTTACTACTACCAGATGTAACTGAGTGGTTAGAAATCTCCCGGGCATCTCTTGAGATGTCTGCCAACAAGTGGTTAAATCTTTCAGCAGCAAGAGATTAAAATCATCAGCAAAGCTCAGCCCTAAAGAGCAAAAAGTTGTTACTTATCATAAAGGTTCTGCATTTGTTTCCAACACTAAACCACAAGCAACATTTTATGTGACTCTAAGGCATGAGGTTGACCCTTTGCTGACAGCTGCTTCATATTGACAGGGGCATCTGCCATTAAAGGGTTAAATATCCCGCTTCTCCACATGCCGAGTTGAGCTTTAAAGGGCCAGTCCATACAAAAGTGATATTCAAGTCATAGGTAGTAGAGTCTTATATGACTTAGATACTCCAAAAGTGAGATCTTCCTGTCCACCTGGGAAATCTGGGTGCCCCCCCCCCCCCCCCTTATCCTTTGTGTGTTCCTGCTACTTCCATTACACTGTCCATAGTATAAAATAAATACAAAAATTCAGGGGGGTGGTTAGAGCCCCTCACGATGACCACAGCAAGTGTGCAGATCCGAGATCCCAGAGGAGGGATGGTTGGAGCCCCTCATAATGGCCACAGCAGGTGAGCAGACCCGGGAACTCAGCGCAGGCATGCTGGGAACCCCTCATAACGGGCACAGCAAGTGTGCAGAGCCAGGAACTTGGCACCATGACAGTGGGAACCCCTCATGATGGACACAGCAGGTGTACAGACCTGGAAACCCAGCATAGATATAGTGGGGGCCCCTCATAAAGGGCACAGCAGGTGTACAGACCTGTAAAGTCTGCTCAGGGATAGTGGGAGCCCCTCATAATGGGCACAGCAGGTGTTTGGACCTGGAAACCCAGCATAGATATAGTGGGGGCCCCTCATAAAGGGCACAGCAGGTGTACAGACCTGTAAAGTCTGCATAGGGATAGTGGGAGCCCCTCATAATGGGCACAGTAGGTGTACAGACCTGGAAAATCTGCACAGGGATAGTGGGAGCCCCTCATAATGGGCACAGTAGGTGTGCAGACCCGGGAACTGATCAGAAAAGTCCTAGGGAAGAACCGGTCAGCTAGTTTTGACTCTCTGGCATCCACCAAACACTGAAACATCGGACTGGATGAAATGACAAGTTATTATTATTATACAGGATTGATATAGCGCCAACAGTTTGTGCAGCGCTTTACAATATAAGGAAGACGATCACAATACAATTCAAGACAAGCTGAAGTAAAACTTTCCTAATGGCATCCTTCAGATTTTCCTCCAGATGTTCACAGGTGCAAAAGCAGAGAAACGTCCCCCCAAAACGGGGGACGCCGGCCCTCCACTTACCTCGCAGGCGGCCACAGGGATCAGTTCGGTGTGTATGACCATCAGGACGATGCCGAGCAGCGCCAAAACCAGGATCCAGGCGGAGAGCCTCTTCTTCTGATCCACCAGCTCTTTGCGCTCCTTGAGCTTGCGCAGGTTCTCGGAGGGGGGCTCCCACAGGATGTCCACTTTGGGCTGCGAGTTGAGGATGGAGATCTCGGTGAGCTCCTTGCTGTGCATGTTGCCGCGGGGCGATTTCCCTCGGGATGCAGGAAGGCATGTTGTAAACAGGGGCCAGCCGCTCCTTCCCATGTGCTCCTTCGGCAGCGTCCCTAGAGCCCCGGCCCAGTCCGGCTACCAGAGACAGCAAAGGAAACCGCGTCTTCCTGTGTTCTGGCTTGGCCACAGGGAGGAGGCTGCGGACTCCTGCGTCCCCTCCGCTGCCCGTCACCTGCCGCTGGCGTCCTTAACAAATTTCTTCTCTTCTCCGGAACTTTTTTTTTTTTCGTCTGCCCTTTCTTTTTTATTTTCGCAACTTTTCCAGTTTTTGTTCTAGCGTTGCATTTCCCTTTTACACTTCTTAAAGGATCTTCCTCCCCTTTCCGACTTTTCTCTATAAACTTTTACTGCTTTCTCTGTTCCGAGTCTCCAGTCTTGTCCTCATTTTTTTTTTTCCTCCTCTCCTCTTATCGCCCCTCCGATGCCATCAGCCTGCGCTATAACTATGTTTTTATTTGTTTAGCTGATGTCTGCAGGGGGTGGGAGGAGAGAAGGCGGCCCAGGAACCAAAAAAAAAAAAGAAAAGAGCTACTTGTTCTGAGTGTTTGTTTTTACACAGTCAGGGAAAAGAATACTGTCACAGAAAAGAATGATTTATAAACGTTGTATTAGAAGTGGTGACAGTTCCTTGAAGGGCTCGAGTTGGGAACCTTAAAGGATCACTCCACTTTAAAAAAATAAAATAAAAAAAATAATGCAGCAATTCTGATCCTATGATCAATGTGCATTTACTTTTTCTTACATTGAAGCCTGCAGAGCATTGCACCAAAAACTGAGGCTCTTGCAGCCTCCATACGGACCTTCTGTTATGAGGCTGAAGGAAGCGCGGCTGGGCTACAATTTCTGTGGCGCCACTTGACGTAACCGCAATTGCTGTGACTTGTAGTTGAATGATTGGAAACGGTTCTGAGTTTGATGACACGGCTTGCGGAGCGGTCAGTACGTCGTGGGTGCTATGCTCGGGCTCTTGCAATGTTCACCCCCCGACATCTATACCGACTTTCTGTTATGGGGCTGTGGGCTCGGCTACCATTGCTGTGATGTCACCGTCCTGCTTCCGGCATGCCTTGGCGGTGGCAGATGAGACTTGTAGTTGAATGATTGCACAGAATCCTGAGTTTGATGAAGCACCCTGCAGAGCATTGCACCTGCAGTCACTGCATGGTGGGTGCAATGCTCAGACTCTTGCAATGTTCACCTCCATATGGACCTTCTGTTATGGGGATGGAGGAAGTGCGGCTGGGCTACAATTGCTGTGACATCACCGTCCTGCTTCCGGCATGCCTTGGCGGTGGCAGATGAGACTTGTAGTTGAATGATTGCACAGAATCCTGAGTTTGATGAAGCACCCTGCAGAGCATTGCACCTGCAGTCAATGCATGGTGGGTGCAATGCTCAGGCTCTTGCAATGTTTACCTCCCTACTGACCTTCTGTTATGGGGATGGAGGAAGTGCGGCTGGGCTACAATGGCTGTGACGTCACCGCCCTGCTGCCCACATGCCTTTACTGTGGCAGATGAGACTTGTAGTTGCATGATTGCAAGCCATTCTGTTTGATGACGCGGCCTGCAGAGCATTGCACCTGTGATCGATGCATAGTGGGTGCAATGCTCAGGCTCTTGCAATGTTCACCTTCATACCAACCTTGCGCTACGGGGCTGGAGGAAGTGCAGCTAGGCTAAAATTGCTGTGACATCACAACCCTTGGTGCCGGTGTGCCTCTGTTATGGCAGATGTGACTTGTAGTTGCATGATTGCACATAATTCTGAGTTGATCACAAGGCCTGCAGAGCATTGCATCCTGCAGACTTCTCTTAGCTCTAGGTCCATACAGAGGTACAAACCTTCTGTTATAGGGCTGGAGGAAGTGTAGCTGGGCCAACCTGCTGCGGCATGCCTTGGCCGTGGCAGATGGTACTTGTAGTTGGATTGGGCAGATGGAACACTGAACTAAAAAGATGCATCAAGCAGCACCCCGAGATTCAGGTATGGGGGGTGATTCGGGTTTGGGAATTTGGCGTATGTGACCATGCCTCACGTTACACCCTAAATATGGATATGACATAAAACGTGGCGTTAGCCATTAAAATAGATCCAAACCAAAATAACAATAGTCTCACAAAAATGAATACATTGTTTCCAAACTTTTTATATCTGCAGCTTTTATTAGAATAATCCCCGGTGATCCCGCCATAAGATCCTTGTTCAAGCACTTCCTGTTATAGGGTGACAACACTCTGTCCCTGTCTCCAAATTGTGCTCCTGTGTTGTCACCCAGACTTCTATGTCAGCACACATTACACAGACATGGTCTTCTGTTGTCACCATCAGGAAACCCGCCCTGAGAAATACCATGCAGCCATTGCCGGGCTGCATGTAGACAGGAAGTGGCTGCAGGGGATCAGCATCACTGGGATGCAAACTGAGAAATAAATCCAACCCACCTAGAGGTCTATTCCTTTAAAAGTCATCGATTTGTCGTGTCTTCTGCAATCCATAGACATAACAATCAGATACATGATATTCTTGTGTCTCTGGGTACTTCTAGGCTGACCATAGACAGACAGACCTCTCATCATTTACATGACCCTGCCAAATCCTGCTCCACCCGTAGCTGACCACACATGTTACAATCTGATTGTACAACCTCCTTCAGATCTGACAACAGTTATAGAGTTATGTAATGTAAGGGTCCGTCTGATCGGATCAGCCCGTAAGGGCCCATAGGTGGATATTAGGAGCTGAGGGCATTGCTGGCAGATCAGGAGGGTTTTCTGTACTTTTAGGGTCCTTAAAGGGATATAACACGAGAACACGTGCATGGGTTGGAGACATGTACTGTATGTGCATTTGTTTCCTTTGTCCAGACACACAGGAAAGCTGTGCCACCTGGGGGAGAACATGCAAACTCCATGCAGTTTTCCTAGGGAGAACGATACCTGGAGCTCCAGTGTTGCATGCAAGGCCAAATTTACTCTCCCTGCTGCCCCAATGTTTGGTTCCTCAATGCGCCCCCTCCCCCCCCCCCCTTTCCCCATGGAGAATGGCAACCAGATAGCAGAGCTGGCAGGGTTTACATTTTTTTTTAAATTATTATTGTTGTTTTAATTTTTTTTCTTTATTTTTTTCTAATTTTTTATTTATCTTATTATCTTTGATTTTTTAGAATTTTTTTATGTGATCATTTTTTAGCCCTTTTTTCTTTTTTTTTCTTTTAATTGTTATTTCTTATTATTTTTCACTTCGTTTTTTTATTTTTATTTTTCTCTATTTCTTTGTTTTAAAAGAGAACTATGGGGTCAGGGCTTTTCCCCATCGTTCTCCTAAGGGTCACGGGAAGACACAAACTAGCCTCCTCCCGTGAGCCAAAGCTCAGTATATCGCGAGATACAGTTCGCGGTATACTGAGACCGCCGCAGCAGGGACAGATCCCGACATTACTGTCTGGATCCACCCAGCTGCGTGATTGACAGCTGGCTCTGCCTATCTAGAGCTGTACCCGCCCCTCCCCTGTCCGTTCCGCCAGTCAGCGCTGGAGGATCGGACAGGGAAGGGGGAATCCCTGCAGGGAGCCGTGAGTGACAGTCACGGCTCTCTGCAGGGAGATGATCGAGAAGTGAGCGAGCGGCGGTATGTGTTCGGTCACTTCCCGATCTACTGAGCCGACCTGTGACAGTCTCATTGTCACACGTCGGCTCGAACTATGAGGCTCACCTCATGGTTCTCCTTTAAGGAATCATCAGTCTGATGGGTATAGCCAGCCTCAGGTGCTCTTACACATGGCTGCCTGAAGGGGCGCTGTTTCCCAGTTCCAGATGGTTGATGGGGTTCTCCTTTCTCAGGACCTTCAGATGCAATATATAGCTCTGGTCTCAGCTGAGCCCTCGCTGATCCATGACCCCTCCCTCCAAAAAAATTCCAATACTCCCGGGAAGTTATGCATTGAACACAAAGACTTTTTGTGAGGTGTAGACAGCAGGCAGTTTATTTCGGGATGTGTTCGGGTTGCCAGGCAAGGAAGTGTCGCCCGTGGTTCATGACCTTGCTTTCTATTATTCCAGAGTCTATACCCCTGGTGCCCAAACTGCGTCCCTGTGGCACTTATCGTGCTGCACTATGGGAGGGTGGGGGGTGGTTGATTGTACTGCGCTGCGGAATATGTTGGCACTATATAAATGTAACCGAAGTTATTGGCACTTACTCAGGAAATCTGTTCTTTGGACTGGGTAGTAGCAGTTAAAGCTGAACTCCGGGCACACACGTGACACACCAGCAAATGCAGCTCTGTATTCCTTTATGCATTTGCATTTCTGTCCATCTGGGCCTGAGATTTACACAGCTCTGCCACACAGCAAAGCCCTGTTTGGAGTGGAAGGAGTCCTTAAACGGCTTCCACCTGCTCATCACATTCATCAACTTCCTGGATTCCCAGTGTGCTTTGTGTCTAGTTCCCTGCTGCTGTGTCTCAAGACTACATTTCCCATCATGCATTGCTTCCAGCAAGCAAGGGTAATGTTACATTGTTCCGAGGAGCACCCTGGGGGAGGGAAAAGCTGCACTATGATCCAATCAATACTGGGAGCTGGGGGAGGGGGAAGCAGCACAAGGAGCCAATTTGTGCCAGGAGCACCCTGGGGGAGGAAAAGCTGCACAAGGAGCCAATTGGTAAAGAAGCACCCTGGGGAAGGGGGAAGCAAAACAAGGAGCCAATCGGTACAAAGAGAATGCTGTGTGAGGGGGAAGCAGAACAAGGAACCAATCGGTACAAGGAGCCCCTTGGGGGAGGAGGAAGCTGCACAAGGAGCCAATCAGTACAAGGATTACACTGGGGAGGGGGAAGCAGCACAAGAAGCCAATCAGTATAAAGAGCTCCCTGGGGAGGGGGAAGTTCACAAGGAGCCAATCAGTATAAAGAGAAGAGCTCCCTGGGGGAGGTGGAAGCAACACAAGGAGCCAACAGTATAAAGAGCTCCCTGGGGGAGGGGGAAGTTCACAAGGAGCCAATAGTATAAAGAGAAGAGCTCCCTGGGGGAGGGGCAGCAACACAAGGAGCCAACATTATAAAGAGCTCCATGGGAAAGGGGGAAGCAGCACAAGGAGCCAATCAGTATAAAGAACTCCCTGGGGGAGGGGGAAGCAGCACAAGGAGCCAATCAGCTGCTTTGCAGTGCAAGGAAACCGCTATTAGGAGGAGAGAGCGGAGT